AAAAAAAAAAAAAAAAAAAAAACATAAGAAACATTAATGTGTTTTTCATCCCAACAGTTCTTACCACTTAGTTCAACTATATAGTTTCAAATCCCGCAAATTTAGCCTTCCAACACACCATGTTTGTCTCTTACATCTTTAGACAATTAGGATGGCCTCAGAAATATGGTCAGTTGGCAAACTTGACACGTAAGAGTCAGTACTCACAAATATTACTTGATCCATTGAACTTATTTGCATATGTGAGGTATCTAAGCAACCATCAAAAGTACATTGTGCTTCTCATAATTACAGCTATAGCCCCTATAGGATATTCAGATACATTTTGACTTTGTTTGAAGTTGCAGGGGGGAGGCACAAAAAGATACTTATTCCATTTGTGCAGTACAATGCCGGAATTAACATGTAACAACAAAGAAAAACAAATGAGATAAACCAAAGTTTAAGATAAAACTGCTAGCACCACCAAACAAATCACTATAAGAAAGGGAACCGCAGAAACTCATGTTCTGTAAACACAGAGAGAACAGAGAGAAGATATAGTAAGCAGCCTTAGCACATAGGTGATTTAAAGTGCCATAACGTTCTCAATCATAATACAACATGCTTGAAACACCATAGCAGTTTTGGTATTATCCATGAAGTCTATGGACTAAAAGTTCTCGCAGGTAGAAAAAAATAACATCATGTTTTAATATTATTAACTACTGCATGAGTTCGACGGGGAGAACTAATATATAGTATGGGCTTAATACTGGGCAAAACTTGTTTAGTTGAAAGGTCAATTTTCTTGCAGTGTACCAACTTTTTACATCTCTAAAGAAAGTAAGAAACCCGTAGCTTCTCCAGGATAGGAAGAGAGGCCATCAGTGGATAGTCTTCATAATAATGAGCGGGAAACTGAACATGTTCCGAAGGAATTCAACAAATGATAGGTGTCATGTCCTTAGAGCATTCTCTGGGTCTGAACCTACATCTTGGGTATCTGGTTATATAGTTTGATAATTTCATACTTCAGTCCTTTGTTTGCCACGAAAAAGAAAAAAAGCGGACAAGGAAAAAAAGATCTTTCGGATGAAAATAAAGAGATATATAAGTATTACCTGAAGGTTGGTATCTTCACCAGTAATCCCGACACGAGCACAATCCGTCTTTTAAATGATGAAACCTCTTAGCATCTCGCATGATAATTTCCCGACCAACAAGCCTCGAAGCAATCTTCAATGCATTATGGCAATCACCACAGACACGTAGGTTCTTTATTATTCGGATTGGTGATCGTGCAGAGCTACTCATAAGACCTTGAGCAAAAGCAAGTCTCTCGCTGTGAGCCATTAAAGCGTCCTCTTTAGTTTCTTGGTCTACGTCATGTAACACAAACTTAATCTCTGGTATATAACCATCCTCCTTCATTAGCTGCTTTAAACCCCTAAGCAATTCATATATCTTCTCATGGTCGGGATGTGATCTATCTCCTGCTCGATATTCATGGACTCTGCTTCTAGCCTCAAGAAGACTTTGAGCAGATTTTTTCTTTTCTTTGTCCTTAGCAATATCTGATGCTTTTACAGCTAAAAAACCTGCCTTTGACTGTTCATCCAAACGAGATGGATCTAGGAGTTCAACAATCTCAGCACAACGATCCCCAAGCTCCAAGTCCCCATGAATTCTACAGAGATTCATCATGGTTTCCCATACTTCAATACTTGGATCTATAGGCATTTTTTCAATGAACTCTATCGCTTCATTAAGATATCCTGTACTTCCCAACATATCTACCACTCCCACATAATGCTCCATGGAGTGAACAATACCATAATCTTTAATCATTGATTCTAAGTGCAACATGCCTTCGACTATATCACCTACAACACTACAAGCATGAAAGACACCCAGATACATTTGGCCATCAGGTTTCATCCCGGTTTTCTTGAATTCTGCAAACAATTCTATTGCATCTTCTCCAAGACCATTCTTAGCAAGCCAAGTAATCATCGTGTCCCAAGAAGTCAGATTACGCTGAGGCATTTTTTGAAACACCGAAAAGGCATCATTCATGGAGCCACATTTACCATACATTTCAAGAATCTTATTGTACGTTTTGACGTCAAGATGAGGATGAGATCTCACAAGGTGCTCATGAACTGATTTAGCCTCCTCAAGGGATTTATCCTCACCACAGACATCCATTAATGTTATATATCGAGACAAATCGACTGTGACATGTTGCTGCTCCAACAAATGCAAAACTTCAACTGCCTCCTTCACTTTGCCTTCTTTACAAAAGTTATCGAGCTCGTCAGTTGAGCCTTTTTTAACGCTGCTATCAGCAGAATCAATTGACCGTTCAATAGGTGTTGAACTTCTCATTTCTTGATTGCCTACTATTCCATTCTGAGATTGATAAGAAGCTTGATGTCCAGTACTAGAAGGGTTAAAGCCGCTTACATTTTGCTGATATTGTCCCATCATCTCCCTTGAGTAACCACTCGAATTCGTATGCCTTTCCATATCATATGCACTTGCACTTTGTGGATACATTTCAGAATTTCCTGCTTGAACATTCCTTACATTTCCAGGGTTATAACTGGGATGAGGCACTCCTATGTTTCTCGTGTAATTGGCACTGATACTCTGCTGTGACATTTCACTGTTCCCACCATAATAACCATTTAAACTTTGTTGATAGTGTCCATAAACTCCGGTTTGACTCGGCTGAGCTTCTACGCGTCCCTCAAACCTGGAACTATGCAGCACATTCGATGAATTTTCACCTTTGTAACCAGCATCACTTCTATTATGCTGGACTAAATTATTACTTTGATATTCCTTTCGTGACCCGAAATCATTAGTGCTTGAGGATAAACTCCCATTTGGCCGAACAGTTTGCTGAAAATCTTTTCTTGATGAAAAGTTATCATTTTGACGGTGTGGGTCCTGCTGAAACCCAATGGTATCCTTGGAAAAATAACCTCTAGCACCATTAGCTGATTCTTGAAATTCAGCTTTAGGGTTTAGCCTAGGGTTCAAAGAATTCGTATTATTTGAGTTATGATTGAAAACGCCAACTGGGTTTTGCTCTCTATAGTTATCAAACTCAGATATTTGAGTAGCACTGCTGCGATTTCTAGAAAAAGTTACGAACTTTAATGATTCTAAATGGTGATTTTGTCTGCATACCTTTGTTAGAGTTCTCAGAGATTTGGCAGTGAATGTGGTGGCTCTGCTTCTATACATTTTTGTGTCCACGTGGCGATAATTTGGCGAGCTGAAGGAAGCGATGCGGCAGAACAATGGTGTTTTACAACTGCTTAAACCCTCTCAAAGTCACAGGCTTAGATATGAAGGCAAAAGAAGAAGAAAGTTTGGAGAATGTGTGCTATAACCCTTTTAGTTTTGAAAAGATAATGAAGGACCCTTTAACTTGTGAATCTTAACTTGATGAGATATTGATGAGAAAAAGGTTATTTTGTGTAAAAAGAGAGGTCAAAAGGGCAGTAAATTGGAAGACAATTTTAAAATGTTTAATCTAAGCCAAAAACATATACAACCCATAGAACTTGGCACCATTTTTTATTTTGGTACTCTATTTCTACCTTGTTTTATTTTGACCCTCCAACTCTATTTCATATGTTCCACTTCAACATAAAAGCTGAAACCAGTGCCAAAAATATAGCACGTGTGTATACACAAATCTGAAGTATAATAAATATCCAATTAAATATTATTGCCACCTGATTTTTCATCCATGTCAAACCGGTCAATACTAAAATACCCGAACCCGATCATATTTTTTTAGGGTTTATTTCATCTAAACGGGCCAGGTATAAAATCGGCAGATGGAATCTTTGGAACTTAGAGAATGAAGACGGGGCAACAGTAGATAAAAAATACGGTCGGGTTCGAGTATTTTAGTATTGACCCATTTGACATGGATGAAAAAATCAAGTGGCAACATTTAATTGGATATTTATTACACCTCAGATTTGTGCATACACATGCGCTATATATTTTTGCATTGATTTCAGCTTTTGTGTTAAAGTAGAATATAAGAAATAGAGTTGGAGGACCAAAATGGAACATATAAAATAGAGTTAGAGGACCAAAATGAAACAAGAGGAAGATAAAGTGCCAAAATAAAAAATGGTGCCAAGTTGAATGGGCTAGCTTGTTGGAACATGTCATTTCGTAATGTATTGTATTATATTTCACTGTAGCATAATATATTGTTTGATGAATACATCATTTGAGTAGATTATATTGTTTGTCGTTGGTTCATGATATCACGCACTAACAATACGAAGAATAAACTTGCAATATTATTAAGAAAAACTATGACATTTAGTAGAATTATTATATAAAGGAGTATAGTAAAGGATCAAATATAATTATTTGATAATGATTGTCACACCTCCTTTTTCCGTCCCCGCGAGGGGTGAAGGAGTTTTTTTCAATTAAAGGACAATCGAAAAGAGATTTGTTTATTTATTTCAGAGTCGCCACTTGGGAATTTTATGGCGTCCCAAGTCACCGGTTTTAATCCCGAATCGAGGAAAATATGACTTTATTTACCAGTCTGCGAACCAGAAATCCGAGTAAGGAATTCTGTTAATCCGGGAGAAGGTGTTAGGCATTCCCGAATTCCGTGGTGCTAGCACGGTCGCTTAACAATTTATACTTGGCCTAATTATCTTGATTTACTAAATACATTTTTTTAACTTGTTGCATAGTTTTATTACCGCTTTTGGTTAGATTGTTTATAATTATAGACCTATCTTGAAACGAATCACGCGTACGTATATTCGTTTTTTTTATATAAATGTAAAGAATCGTGTCACGCATACGTGTACACAATAAGATTGATAGCATATTTTTATTTTTATTATTAAAAAATGAATTTATGGCGAAATTATGCGTACTTAAAATAAAATTACGAACACTCGTCACTCTTGTATGATTAAATGGTGAACTGCACATCTCGGGTTATATGAAATAAATTAATTTAATAACCTCCGAAAACCCCCTTTTTATTAAGAAAGTTTGCTCGAAGTTGCGCGAACGCATACTCCGAATTGTCTTTAGAAATGTAATCATGTCACGCGAACGTGTCCACAATTACACAAAATATTCTTAATGGCAATATAAATTTTCTACAAATGTTTATTATGTCCGTCTATATTAAATATGAAAGCCATGGGAAATTACTGAATGGAGTGCCTCGAGATTTCCAGAAAAAATCAAGATTTATTAGGTGTTGACCACAGGTTATATGATTTAAATGTGTGAATTATATGCCTCAAAACTATTCAAATTAGAAGAGTTAATGAGATGAAAAATAAATAAATAATGTGCAACTAAAATTACCATTTTATCGTGAATACAATATCCGTAATTTGTTTTTTAGTGCTTGATAATTACATGCACAAGTTATTTATTATTTTCCTAGGCTTAGGACTAAGTGTATGTGTTTAAAAAAAAACTTGCCAAGCGAATTACGTGTAAAACTAGGAAAAAAATTAGTTGATAAGCAAACTAGTAGTTTTCAAAGAATTTCCATTATTCTACTCGGAGCGAACTCTACTTTGTATATCTTTGACTTAAAATGCCGCAATCAGTATTCATAAATCCAATCTTCTTCTACACAACTTGTTTTTAGTCCAAAGTTCTAATTATTTGGTTAATTTGCTTACGATGATTGAGTTTGTGATAGATAAAATCAAACCAATTTTTATCTCGGCATATGCAAGCTATTTACAAATACTAAATCTATACTTTGTAATAACATTGACATTATTTTTATATACTATTTTTATAAGAAAATGAGTAAATCGTATTCCTAAAATAAATGGGCCATTTGTTGTTAAGAAAGAAAACTAATCTACAAATTGATTTAATAAAATGACATTACATATACCGCAAATACACATCTGAACCTTCCGGAATATTCCAATATCTTAATCGTAACGAATTATATCAATTCATCTCTCACTTATAGTTATCCCCATTATTAGACCATATTTTATATAAACGAGAATACTTATATCAACTAGAATTAAACAAAATCAGGCTTGACGAAGTTTACTAGCGTGGTTCCCTGATATTTCCATGTTACCAAGCGCTTAGTTAACATGGTCTAAATACAAAGTTTAAATAATAGTCAACTTTCTACCAAGTCCCCTGTCTCGACATTTCGAAGATAACTATAATTAATGAGATTCAGAAATAAATAGAATTATTGCAAAGCTTATACTAACTTCAAAAGAGGCCGATGGACTAATAGCTCCCATGTCGAGCATAAGCTATATTAGTTAACTAAAAAAAAATTGAAACTCCAGATTTCATTTCTCTGCAATATTGAAACTTTGCAATAACATGAGTCTAAATATATACCTGGAAATGAGGGTAAAAGAGGTAATATTTAGCAGTAGCAGCAGCAAAAACCCAACAGCAGAAAAATAGGAAGGTCAACGAAATTAACAGCAACACACACACAGCAGTTCAGCAGATTGAACAGCCCAAAAAAAAAATCCGTGAAAACCAGACAGAACAGTAACAGGAAACTCAGAAATTCCAGATTCGAACCAAACAATATCACCAAACAAACCCAGACAGATGCAAGGAAACAACATTTCTGATTTTTTAAAACTTAGGAAAGACAAACTAAAACTCTCAATCTCCAAAATCAACCTTAACACTAACTTCTAATGTAAAATTCTGTTTTTACTTTTCTGATTTTTCTCTCTTTCTTTTTCTCTCTTTTCTCTGTATTTTTCTCTTCTTCAGAAGTCCAATCCCCTCTCTCTCAAATCTCTTCCTCTCTCTCTCTGTTCCTAACATCCCCTTTTATACAAATTGTTCCCCCTCCATCCAGCCTAATGCCCGGACCCCTTTTCCCCTTTTAAAATCAAAAATTTCCACTCAAAAATCACTAAATCTGAATTTTTCCACTTTTAATTCCACTAAGAAAGCTTTTCCCCTTATTTTCAGCCCCCCATTTTCTTTTGTTCCCCAGTATTCTTTAAACAAATACATTAGTGAACCCCACTATTAGTTGTCTATTATCTTTTCACAAACCCACTTAGAAATGTCTCAAATCAGTCCACTAACAAGTTTTAAATATTCAGCAGCCCTTAATCAAGTATTTATGTAGTTTATTTTCCCCAAACTAACCCTGAAAACTCTCAATAATACTGACCCTAATACAAAAGTCAGAATCCAACACCAAACAGATTTTAAAATCTGTTCAAACTTAATTATCAACACTAGTTTCTGATTAAACAGCTATAACCAAATCAGATCAAGTAGCATCAGAATAGGGATCAATGAATCAGGAAATAGCCATATTGAACTAACTAGAATAACAATTGGCATATATACAGGGAATAAACTAACACAAATCCTAAATACAGAACATTGTAAACACATTGAACGGAAATATATGCAGAAAGATGATGAATAATTAAGAGAAAAAGGATCAAACACAACATAAAGGAGACCACTCAGAAACTATTAATAACAGGATGCCAAATGACTCAAACTATACGAACGACCTAATCAACGAAGCTTAATTAATCGATTATATTTTACAATTGACATTTAAACAAATCAGTAACAAAGCAACAAACAACCAGTGTCATTGACGAAGTCACAGACTAACAGGAAATTAATTAATCGACGCAACTTAGGACGCGATTTCACAATTTATAACACATATAATTAAAGCGAATAAAAACAAATGACAGAATCGGACAAAATAAAAAGGTCCATGAGCAGAGTCAATTTTCTAAAAGAATTTAAAAATCAATACAGTAAATAAACAGATACGTAGATAAGGAAAATGAACAAATACGAAGGAAAGAAAAGGAAATACCTCATAATACCCGGACCATACGGACCCAGTCTTTGAAACTCTGATTCGGGCAATTTGAAATCGAAAAGACCTTAGTCGAAGTGTTCTCAACTGAAAACACTTCGATTAAGGTCGATTAGACCTCAACCTTTTATTTAATTTTTGGCAGATTCCATGATTAGGGTTCTTGAGGGTCTGATTTGGGGCTCGATCATTTCTAAGCAGATTCGAACCAAACCAAGTTCAGTTTGGTTACGAGTGAGGTCAGGAGAATAACTGGTGTGATTTTGGGGTATGTTGGGGTAGTTTTAGGTTTTGCTCGAATCTTCAAATGAAGATTCGAGAAGTTCCAGGAAGATTCGTTCTAAGCTACTACCAGATTCATGACGAGGATGGTCAGGAGGAGCTATGATGTTAATTTGGTAGCCATCGGAAAGGGTTGGGTTTTCAGGCCAACCTTCAATCGAAGATTCGAGACATTGGGGCCTGATTCGAGAGATATGGGTTATGGATTTGGAATGGGGAGG